TGTTTTTTTAATTGCATTACAGAAAATAAAGAACTTTATCACAATATTCTAATTTTCTGAGACAGTCCTGTATACTCTGTCATTTCAGTGCCCTCCTTAGAGACCAGAAACAAAAATTCAGTATCTTTAAATAAAGCAGGCTTTCTGGTTTGCATAAGATCAGCATTAAGTAATTGAAGTTCCATTATGCATACAAACAACCGAAAATGGTAATTTGTCACTTTGTGTGCCTCGGTGTTCTAAAATGCCCCCTTGGGATGTGGCATGGTTCAGAGCAGACAAAACAAATACAGACCTCTATTTTGAAAGATGAGCTGCAGCCCACGCGCTCTGAGGCAATCAGATATGCACCTACTAATCGCTTTGCCTATTATCCCCAAGCCTAGCAGACTGTAGCAGGCAGAAAACAGGTTTTGAGAACAAGGTGTTTAATTAATTAATGTATTGAACTTACAATAATAGAGTGCAGTACAAGTATTTTTAAAGGTCCCATGTCATGCTTTTCCAGTTATTACCAAGCGGCAAACTCTGGGGAAGAGCCGGGACGTCAATGCGGAAGTGCCTCAAACTGCAGTTCATCTAGTGGCCAGTAGGAGCAGTCTGCAGAAGGGAGCAACTTCCATAGACCCCAATGTTAAAATGCCCAACTTTAGAGCAGAATTAAACATTTTTACATCGTGGTTCAAAAAACCATATTCTCTGTATAGTTAGATCCCCCCTTCATGAATATGGATTGGGGGGGTGACATTTTTCTCAAGTCATCTGTTTAATTAATATTAAGCCTTAAAGCTTTTGCATAAATTAGGGCGTGGTCACTTTGATGGACATGTACATGCCTCACTGTCAGCTAACAGCAACTTGTCCACTCCGCTAGTCTACAACATTAGAGGCTACAACGTTAGTTAGTTGTAGTTACTGTACTTGACCCTTTAGCCGTGTTCGTGGTGATTGTGCCTTTTAGGGAATATTGTTACAAATACCAGACAACTAAAATGTTGTGCTGTGCGCTTGAATGTACTAACATAACTTCCAAGAAGTCTAAAATGATAATATTATACATGTCCCGTTCGCAGGTGTTTGTGGGCTTAGTAGCTTAGCTTACTTATTAGCCAGCTAAGGACGTAACCCTTTATACATACATATACATTTTAGTTTATGATTCAGCCTTGGGTAAGACTTTTATAGTCTATGTATGGCTATGATGCCCATAATGCTAAACGGGAGCAAATGTTAATAGGGGACCCAATTATCCCAGTGGTGGCCGCCGGAGCTANATGCTGTAATGTAGAAGTTTCTGTAACATACAGGACTGTCTCAGAAAATTAGAATATTGTGATAAAGTTCTTTATTTTCTGTAATGCAATTAAATGTTTTTTTAATTGCATTACAGAAAATAAAGAACTTTATCACAATATTCTAATTTTCTGAGACAGTCCTGTATGTTACAGAAACTTCTACATTACAGCATTTCCACTTTCATACACTTGTAGGGAGTTTCAGCAGTAACAGGCTGACTGGCATGATCATTACATTTGGGATTTTCAGTCATGTTAGTGTTACTAAGGATTGCAATGTATTTCTCTCAGTCAGTCAAACACTTTGGTCGAGACAGAAATATCTCAACTAACGGATCTATTGCCAAGGAAATTGCTACAGATATCCAAGTTCCATGACGATGAACGTCACTTTGCTGCAAGTCATCCACTCTTTCTCCCCACCTTCCTTTATACCTTAGTTGCCAAATGCCCACCTGAACACAAACCAGTTCCTGTGTCCTGTAAACAGTTCTCCTGCTCTTACTTGCGATAAAGACATCTCTCGGAACATGTTCCTATGTCAGTACTGGGGGAACAAAATCCACTGGTCTCATTCAGAGCAAAAGGCATCCTAAAGTTCATCAAATCAAATGGGTCTTTGGTATCTTCGTAAGTTGCAGCCTTTCTAATACAAAATTCAATTTTTGTTTCCCCAGGTAGTGTTAGTCTGCTGCAATGCAGTGATGGTAATACAAAGGGAACATGTTGTACTAAAAGAAACTTTGGAAGACACCTGTTTGATTTGTCTGTCTCAAACTGCAAACTTGAGCCACAACTTTAATTAAAACCCCTCAAAGAAAAACCAAGAGGACATAAATGATAATAATACAACAAATATAGTTATAACATTATGCTAATGTTTACATATCTGAACCTAGTTACATTATAATAAAGCTTATTGTATGAACGTAGAACTGAATTATATACCAAGGAGTTTCTTCCAGTTTTTGATTTTGCTCATTTGTTGCCATAGCAATGATATTTGATTACGTGACTTCAAAAGGCACAACGTAACATTATTATCTGGCTAGAGTCTCAAACGAAAGAGGATGTGATTATGATTGATTCATTATTTAGCCTGTAGGCGTCACATCGAGCTAATTTAGATAGCTTGATTAATATTAGATTAATTACTACGCTCCAGTCAAGGTTAAAGTGTTTTTAATAATTAATATTAGAGAACACTCTACCTCAGTTTCAATTTCTCTATTACTCAATTCTGTCATCTACCTTCATCGGGTCCTTTGTTAACATATTTAAGATGTTCATTAAGGACTTAGCAGCAACACCATGTGTGTGTGCATTCTAAAATTAAATTGTATGCATAGCACATTCGAGCAGTGACTTGCAAATGTTCTCCTATTGAACAGCCTGTTTTGCAGATATCACGCAGATACAGGATTACATAATGTAGGTACCAACAAGGTAGAGAGTGAAATCAATAAGCAGTTGCAGAGTGCTTTCCATTTAGCTATTTATGCTTTCTCACGTCCTCCTTCCAGTCCACTCCTGGAAATGATCGTGGAAGACGCTTCAGTGTCTTGCCTCTCGGAGAACACTGGGAGACATATTGGATAGTGACACCCTTTTAATATTTAGTATTTCTGTCCACATTTAGGGGATTGATCCTAACATAGACATAAAGATTTCCAGACCAAAACCTTTGCAATAGGCTGAAAGGACCCTTTTATTTTGAGGGTTTCCCAAAAGTGTGTTATTGCCCACAATGACAACCGTAGTCTTGAACTGAACTCAGTATCCCATAATCTATTATGCAAGTTTGAGTGATCCATGTCAAGAGGTAAGGTAAAGGAAGGTGACATTGTATTTTTCTGGAATTTGCTCTCTTTTTCACTAGTTTATTCCATGTAACAGAAAACACATGGAGACAGGCCAATGGAGGAATAAATTATTCAGTTTTTTTTTTTTAGCTTGGATATATTGTTAAGCACAGTATTGTTAAGTGCTTATTCTCTTTGTAACTTTAATGATAAATATGGCCATGAAAGTTTTGGAGTTGTTTATGAGTGGACCATTTTGTGTTGAAATTAGTCTCATCTGGGGTGGGCAGACCGCTCTCTGCGGGCTATCAAGATAAATACTTACTGCTGACCTGTTCAGAGTGTTGAGCTGGTTATGAAAAAAGTATTTTCTTCTATAATAATCTAGCCTTCTGCACGTCATAGCCAAATGCTCACAGCTGCAGCATTTCCAAAAAAGGTTACCACATAATTATTAGATCTATTGAAAGGTTTTTCTTTTGTCATTTTTTCCCAGTGATGCCAAAATATACCTTCAACCCCAGCTTAAATTGTACTGAAATTCTATTAAATCACAACCAATATACAGTATGCATGGCAGTGCACTTGCAGTGTTTACATTTGCTTTGTTCATATTATTAACTCGAGTATTGTTCAAAAAATGCATTATCTATACGTTTTCAATAAAACAGATGTAAATGAAGGCAATGTAAACACTTAGAAACGTTGTATAGTGTTATCCAGTTATTGAGATATCACTTTTTCTAGCTGTGTATCTTACACAATCCCAGCCGTCCATTTGTTGTGACAGTTGTGAGAAAGAGGTTCAGTAAATATACGTTTGAGCTTTGAAGCTGTGATCATCCAACCGTTAAAGTGAAGCAGACAAATGAAAGAGTCGGGCTGATGCAACACAAGGAAAACATTGGTGAGACTAACTCATGATGATGTCAAACATCATGTTTCTATAGAAATTAGGTATCACTACATAAAATGCGAAATGCACAGGTTGTCCATTTTATATGGCCTAAAGACAGATAATTAATCACCAACTCAAAAAGTACTCGTGTCTTAAAGGATCAGTTCACCCATGTGATCAAAAAGTATGATGGCATTAAGTAATTGGACATTCTTGTTATTGCATACATGCCTGGCAGGAACTATTTAACAAATATACTAGCGAACTAAACTGTCTAGATTGTCTATTTTTAGAAGCCATGTTGAGAGTGGTGGATAGATTTATTAAGATTGCTTTATGGCAAATGTACCCATACGGTAATTTCTTCCCTTATCTCTTAAGTGGGACGCCATCACAGAGATGGATGAGCAGAACAGACCGATTCACACCTTCCAGGTCTGCCACGTAATGGAGCCAAACCAGAACAACTGGCTGCGGTCGGGATGGATCCAGAGGCAGGCTGCACAGAGGGTCTGGACAACATCACAGCATTTCTTCAGACATTTAAATCAAATGAAGTAGTGTTGAAGCAGGGCTTGGTGGGACATTATCTTAAGGTTGGGAAAGTGTCAAATTAACAGGAGCAAATGCTATCTTATAAGAAAAATAAATGTCAGGACTGTAAGAAAAAATATGAACTTAATATGCGAAGAATTTCGATACAGAAAAGTTCATAAGAAATCAAAGATCAAGAGCAAGATTACTTCCTACTCATTACGTGGAGTACTGCTCATTAAGTCTGAAACAGAGCTGTATCAAAAGCTCCAGAAGTATTCATAGTTTGATCCCACCAAGTCAGTTTTTCAAAGACTGTTCACACATTTTATCTGATGAACATTCATAGGCTGTCATCCTTTTTTAGTATTGATTATTGTTTTTGTTTACTTATTTAATATTATGAAATTCATTTATCTGATTCACTTGATTGTTGTATAATATGTAAACAAAAATCTGGTAATAGCTCTGGCTATGTAGAGCTGACTAAAAAATGTGTAATAGTCCTGTGTTTCTTATGTGTAATGAGCTTGCTTTTTAAAATATTTTAACTCAGGTGTATGTGGAGCTGCGTTTCACCCTGAGAGACTGTAACTCCATCCCTTGGGTGTCTGGCACCTGTAAGGAAACCTTCAACCTGTTCTACCTGCAGACAGAAGAGCAGCTCTCTGGAGGGACTCGCTTCAGGCCTACTGATTATGCCAAGGTTGGTTATTGGAGCCATACTGTATTATGAAAAATAGTGTTCTGCTGGGCTAATGGTATTAATCAGTAAGTATAATGAAGTTTGCTTGTTTCTTGTTGGCTTTAAGGTGGACACTATAGCGGCAGATGAGAGCTTTACACAGACGGATCTTGGCGATCGTGTTCTTCGCCTCAACACTGAGGTCAGGGAGGTGGGGCCGGTGACCCAGAGGGGCTTCTACTTAGCCTTCCAGGACGTGGGAGCGTGTATTGCTCTTGTGTCTGTTAAGGTCAGTGAACTGATGTGGAACAACTGATATTTGCATGAACTACAAAATCTATTTGTTTACTTTTTATTAAGACAGGCAGCTCACTTTAAGTTCCTTTTACATAAAGGTGTTCTACAAACGCTGCCCATCGACTTTAAGGAACCTGGCAGCGTTTCCTGACACAGTGCCACATATGGACTCCTCCTCTCTGGTGGAGGTTAGGGGTGCTTGTGTGGAGAATGCAGAAGAGAGAGACACACCCAAACTGTACTGTGGTGCTGACGGAGACTGGCTGGTACCCCTGGGCCGCTGTGTGTGTAGTATCGGCCACGAGGAGATAGATGGCTACTGCAAAGGTAAGACATGTGTTTGTGTTAAATTTAGCACAGAACACCAACTGTGTACTTAAACTAGATATACAGAGAACAATCAGATAGAGATAGAGAAATGGGGAGAAGGTAAGGAAGAAGAAAAGGCCTTGGATTACATTATCAGATCTCAAGGGCCTCTCCAGTCAACTGCAGACGTTTGAGTTTACAGAACTGCAACTCCCTCCTCTCTTTCTAAGATCCTGTATCCTTCTCTGATCCTCTCCATCCACATCTCTCCTCACAGCTCCACCTCCCCCCATCATCTTCTCTCCTCTCTTGTCCACTTTGTTTACGCTTCACTTACACTCCGCCCTTCTTTCTCCTCCAAGTCCCTTTATTTGCTCTATTTTCTTCCTTCCCTTTTAAGTCTCACTTTTGCTGTCTCTCATCACCAACCTCTTCTCCTATGGGATCGTATAGAATAGGAAGAGATTATTGGAGTCACCAAGGATTTAATGACATTTAAAAATAATTACTTCTGCTTTGATATCAAACGCTCTGGACTCTATCAATTATTTGGTTCAAATGGGGGATAACTTCCTGTAATAACAAACTGTTTTAGGTTTGCTGCTTTTATGTCTGCTGTTACATTTTAATCTGTCTTGGTAAATGACATGATGTCGTAGATAAATGCAAACACTTACATAGCATTTACATAAACAATCAAATCCAACAACTTTGATAAATGTTTTTTTTTTCTTTGTTTCTAATTACTTGTAGCATTTCTTAAATGTGGCCGGTTGTTAGGGAAACCGATTAAGAAAAAGTTTTTCCAGAAATAGATTTTGGCCTGGTTTCTCAATTAGACTGTGCAGACAGACTGGGGGCTAGCTGGCTAATTGCCTTCATTTGTTAGTTTCACAGCTAATTTAGCTCACACCTAGTATATTCTTTAACTCCGTCAACCCTGGCATTCATTAATGAAGCTCGAACTGACTGTTGTAATTAAGGCAGGTGCTAATGGAGCCACGCTGCATGATTACAATTGCAGGACACCGTTAGCGCCTTGCTACATTTGTAGATGTACAGAACCTGGCTAGGCTGAAAATTCATGTAGTACCCCTGTGGTGATGTGGTTACTCAGGTTATTACAGAGAGATCTCCAACAGTCATTAGTAAAGCTGATATGTAGGCCACGCTTTAAGATCTCCAACATTTGCTCTGCGGGGGTAGTTTTTCTTTTTATCTTCTCTTCTTGTGCATGCTTCTTATTTCTCCCTTTCCTCCCTCATTCATCTCAGATATGTATTTAAACAACACAGAAGCCTGTCACCAAAGATTACTGACAGCAGCAGCAGCATCACTGTGTGCCGTGTATATGTCCTACATCTTTATTCTCACCGTTCCTCCCCTTTGGCTAACTGGAGCTTCTCTCGATTGTACTGTAGCAACAGTGTCTAGGGGATCTTGGCAGCGGCTACATTGAATGGGTCAGTAACTCATGTAGCAGTAACCCACTTGGCACTAGAAAGCAATGTACGTATGTCTATCTATTAAGATGTGTTCTACATGTTCATCCTAAGTTACAAACCCAAGTTGTCAAAAGCTTCTATTGACATTTGACATTGCAATATTGATATCAATTGTGATATAAGCATAAACAGTCTATGGATATAATATGTTCTTAGGTCAAATAATAAATGTATTCAACTACATTAAAGATAAAATACAGAGTTCACATCATAACTTAGGAACCGGCAGCTGTCAAACTTTGCCGTGTTCAGATTCATTCATGAGAATGCTGAAGAGTGTTTTGAGTTGTACACAGTGACCTTTTTCGTTGTTTGCATCCAGTTATTAAAAATAATTGTCCCTGTAATGATAACAAATAACTTACACATTACTACATGTCCAATGTCAAGAGCATGTAAATAAAAAATTATAAAACTTTTAGAAAACCTAAGCTACATACTCAATTTTGACTGAGATATAAAGGTTGTTCCCATTGTGTTCTAAATCTTTCCAAGAGTTATCTCTACACTGGATATGAACATATGACATTACTATGTCTGAAAAAACAAGTATATGTCCCAAAATGGTTGTTCCTTTTTGAGCCCCCCTTCTCGGAAATGCGGTTGTTGCATCTGGGGTAAATAAAACCAGGGATACTGCTGTGTTCTATGGTTACACTATACAGGAGTTTTAGTCTATTTCTGAAATGTCAGGTATCATTTATCAACTTTTATCTGCTTTGCAATCTCAAATGGCATCTTTGAACTGATTAACATGAGACTACAAGAGGGTATCAATAGTAACAACACATTATGGTCTTGAAAAGAATGATTGATGGCTTTAATAAATAACGGACAATTTGTATTTGTATCAATCATTTCCATAGGTCTTGCAGGGCTTGAGCTGTGATGAAGATGTGCACTTTGCAAGTAGTTGCAGGAAGTTTAGGCATGAACTTTAGGTGACTTCTGCTTTCTCCTCGTTTTCATTTTGGAACACTGCTTCAAAGGGTGCTGTGATCAAAGCTGTCTGAGAGGCAGCATGGAGAAAGAGCAAAAGAGGGAGAGAGCGGGAGAGAGCGAGAGAGTGAGAAAGAGAGAATAGGGAAAACCCCAGTGCTCCCAAATATAAGCAGAGCTCTGCACCAACACGTCGTTCTTTCCCTCCCAGCTGCCTAAACAAAGGCATCAGCGCTTATGAAACCCTGCTTTCCCCCCCGATAGCATTCTGCCAGACTGTTTTGACATCTCAATCGAGTGCTTTATTATTCCATTCCTTTCATTCAGTGTCAGCCACAAGAGGATTACTCAGAGATAGGTTGGTTATATGATGACCTAGATAAGGCAACATCATAGAGCTAATGCTATTTGTTCCACATCCTTTCGTCACGCCATATTTAAAAAGGAGGCAGTGAATTATTGCAGAAACTAATAGAGACGTCCTTTTGAATTCCATTTGAATCAGAATACATTTGCAGACAAGAACAAAAACCCATCAGTTGGCTAAGTGGTTACACAATAAACAAAACATATTTTTAAGGTTTCAGCAAAACCTTTTGTATCTCATGCTTTTTGTTTTTCATTAGGTTGATACAAACACAAACATTTTTCTCTTATTGCACCAGGAAGTGAGGAAGCTAGTTAAATGAGATTTTTTTTAATCAAACAACAATGTCAATTAGTATTCTCCATTTGCTCTTTTCTCCATGATCTATCCGTGCGAATCCTCCAGAATGTAACACAACTTAGCTTGCTCACTGATGACCTCTGCTGTCTTAAGACACAGGACTGATCAGGCAGGAAAAGTAACACTTGTGACCTTGAATTGAGGTAAAGTTGAATAGGAAATAAGGAAATCAATACATTCTCTTAGTTCAGTTGTATGGGAGAGCTTCAACCTCTTCTGTCCATTTGCAGACTATGTTTACTGTGGCCTCTAACGCAGATCTGCCAGACTAGAGCATCACTCATTCTCTGTGAACTTCCCATCTGCATATCAAAGCTCAGAGTCCAGGGTAAACATAGTCTCTGGATCCATCTGTTTCTGACAACATAAAGCCAAGAAAAAAAACGTCCAACTCTACACACCCAAACAACTCCAATTCTCTTAGTAGGCACGACATTACTTTACTGCAAATGTGAAGGGGATGAGCTTCCTTTGACTAAACCCCTGAAGGTTATCTTTTGAAACTCAAATCTCAAGCATGCTGCATAACCTAGAGATAGTTTAATCATTGCAAAGTATTTGTAATACTCTCAAATATTAATATTTCCATGGATCTTATTGTGATGTTATTAGAAAAGAGACCACTTGCAATGATGTATACCCACAGAGAATTAGCACCCACTCTGCAGCTTCCATCAGCTCTACAAAGATGTGCATTATCTTCTTATATCTATTGTTTTATTTTCAGCACAAAAAAAACACCAAAACCCTCTTTTCAACACCAACTCAGTAAGTAAGCAACTTGTTGTTGAACTTGCGCTAAAAAGCGAGAGTCATTTTTCAATTATTCCCTTTGTATTTGGTGAACACCAATAAAGAGGAAGTGAGTAAATTGCTTCAGATGACATCTATAGCTCTATATCAGTTCCTAGCTTGCACCTTAATGGCCAGAAAAACTACAATGTATGTTTATTAGAGTAAAACTTTAGTTACTCAAGAGAAGCTATGATGCCATACCATATAGAATTAAGACATTGTGCTAGAAATTGTGAAAGTCTCATCGATAAAAAACTGTGATGGTATTTAAGCCTGCAACAATCAGTCAATAACTTGATACGTTGAAAAGGAATGGGCTAAATGTTACCTTGTAAAATGTCGTTTTAGCAGAGTACCTTAAGCAAGCCAATTTTTGTGAAGATGTTTTCACATAAATGGATATTAAAATGGATAATGGAGGGAATTAAGACCTGTTTAACTCCTTGACCCTAACTCTTTAAGTAGCTTATAAAACATAATTAAAACTAATAATTCTGATTTTTTTTATGAATCAAAGTAAATGTGGCGGCTCAATTTCCAGTTACGTTTGAGTCGCCGAGAGGCTAAACTTGTCTATAAACTGTGACGCGTTTTTCGAAGAGAAAGTCCATACTGAAGCAAGATAGTTTTACGATATTTAATAAACAAAATCATAACATATTAACTATGGACAAAATGGTCAACAGAAAAACTTACAGCACAAGCTCACCCTCTGTCATCCGCACTCAACATCAAACAGGTGACTTACATAACCAAACCACACCCATGTGACAATTACCGGCAGTGCTCAACAAACAAATAAAAGTGACGTAAACAAAAAATAATAATACAAATAATGAACTTGGGCTAAGTAGCGTTATGGCACCTACAGTAAATCTTTAAACAAAAAGAAGATAATGTATTTCCTTAGCATTTCAATTATGTGGTTTTATCCAAATAACCACTGTAGATGAAAGGATAAATTTTTGACTTTTTGATAGTTCACACTGACTTGTTTTGTCAACAATTAGACATCTTATCTGGGACCAGTGGCGGTTCTACGGGGTGGCACG